GTGGGGTTTTCTTTCGAGATTTTTTTGATACATGGGCTTTTATATGAATTAAAAAATCATATATTATTAAAAAAGAATACCCGTGCTATTTCTTTAATAACTTTTGAACAATGCACTTCGAAGACTTGCGGTTTTTGAGCATTGCATAGAAGAGATAATTAGCTACAGGTAGACGTAAAAATATCTCAGAAAATACCACCTGCGTCTGATATACCTTATCAGTCTTTGAAAGACTAGACCGTGGTTCCGAGATCTATCACAATGATCCCTGGATTTTTCATATAGGCATGACAGGAATGGGAAAACTACATCTCTGCTCAATTCTGTAGTAACAAGATCCAGTTACAATAAAATGAAGAATATTCTCGACACGATATTCATTCGACTTACAGTCAATGGACCGAGCGAATCGATGTGATTCACGTTATTTATCTTTAATATGTATACCAGAAAAGTTTGTTTTTGCTGTATTGATACTTCCATTATCATCGGATTGACATTCACTATCTTCGTCACTGTCGTTGTTATTATTATCAGCATCATCTAATTCAGATTCACGTTCTGAATCAGAATCAGAATCATCACTAGTATTATTTGTTGTTGAATTATCAAACATTTTCGATGCGGAACTTAATTCATGAAATACATGTTTACTTAATTGTTCTAATTGAAATATACCATGTTGATTTAAAACTGTTGACATATGCAAATCTTCAATCAATCTAATTGATGTATTATATGAATCTAATATAGTTTGTTCAATATCTAATTGTTCAACATAATCAGTAATTTGTAATTTTAATAAATGATTATCTTTTTTATGTTTGTGATGTACTGGAAATAAAAGATGATCATTATTGTTTGATTGTTGACTGCACTTAATTTGATTTAATATGGATAATTTTTCTGGTCGTCGAAGAAAATCACTAACTGTGAAATTGATAATTGTAGAGTAAGCACCACTCAATGATCTCGTATTACGAAATATAGATTCACACGATTGAGAATTAAATAAGTATATACTTAATACTTCTTTTGGCAGGTTTTTTTGTTTAACTAATAATATTAAGTAAAGTAAATTGTGTGCATTAATTTCAACCGATAAGTATGCTGTTTTAGTTATAAAATATTTATCTGTACTGTTTTTCTTTTTCTTATTTTTTGTTGCTGGTGATAGAGATGATTTATTAGCAAATGTTTTATTCTTAAGCCGTGACCACCATAATCGACAAACAAATACAACAACCCATGCTGAATGGGTATGCACCGGTATCGGTATTCATACCAAAATACCGATACCGAAAATACCGACTATTTTCACTTAGAATTTTTTGGATTTTCTCATTTGAAATGAGATGTTTTAGCGTCCCGGACACCCAGAATGGATCAGGGACGGAAAACAACTCTGTTTGCTTTCTAAAGTCAAAGCTTTTCTTTTCTTTCTATCTGAACATGCTCCAAATACACAGCTGAGTGTTGTTTATACGTTCTGCTTGTCCAGAATGCTAAAGTACCTCATTTCAAATGAAAAAATTCCAGGTCAAAAATGTCGGTATTTTCGGTATCGGTATATACCGAAGTTCGGTATTTTCGGTATTCGGTATACCGATACCGGTGCATACCTAATGCTGAATGCAAACGTTCTGCAAGTATTGTTGATTTTTCAATATAAGCAGCTATTAACAATCTTAATAGATGAAGATAAATAAATGTTCCTGATGTCTTGGGATTACTACGTACAATATTTAACAAATCATTTGATGTCAGTTTTTCACAAGAACGATAATTTTGTCTGTCTTTAGGATTAATATCTGTCCGAACAAGGCCATGATCAAGTTTAGAATATGCGTCACTATCAATAATATCTTGCAAATGCTGTATGGAAATTAATTGTTGGCCCATCATGAGTAATATAGACCCAGGACTATCTCTAGTAAAAGAACAGCGGAGGTTATACTTCTAGTTTTCGAGAAATCCTTATTGGGGGTCCAGGAGATTTTGGGAAAGTATTTTAAACATTTTATCACTTTTCCAGTATTAAACTTTAAAACGAATGTCAGATTCGTGATCTACGAAAAACACTGCATCAAATGACATATTTGACAAATGTTTCTCGAATAAAAAAATTTCATCGAAAATTTTCGCCTGGGGTGCCTCTCAGGCATTTTGTAGAAAAAAACACGTTTTGTCCAAAAGCTTAATGTTTGCATATCTGTGTTTACTGGCATTTTAGCTGCCTGTATCGCATGAATTCAGAACGTTTCCGGACAAAAAATGTTTTTTTCTACAAAATGCCTGAGGGGCACCCCACGCGAAAATTTTCGATGAAATTTTTTTATTCGAGAAACATTTGTCAAATATGTCATTTGATGCAGTGTTTTCCCCAATAAGGATTTCTCGAAAACTAGAAGTATAACCTCCGCTGTTCTTTACTAGAGATAGTCCTGGGTCTATATTACTCGAAAGTATAAATGCCGAGGTTTAGTTGTAGGGAGAGAGGCTTGAACAAATCTGTAAAGTTGGTGAAAATCGTTATTTCTGCAAAAGTGCTCGTCAACGTTTCTTAACTTCTACTCATTGCTTATAACATGAACAAATAAAAACTATACCATTCGATAGGGCTTGAAAAGTTGATTCTAATCCACTAGTTTGCATTCATTTTGCTTCTGTTATTATGTCAGAAAATATTGTTTAGGTTAGTCTGTTTCGCTCGATTGAGAATTTTCAGATATGTGCTGCCCTCTATGTATACATTCCGAACCTTTCTTACATATGCCATTTTGATAATAGAAATATATAATAGAAATAGGTAGAATATTTGGCATTAATAGCTATCTATGGTTATCGAGAAAAAGAACTGACCCTGGGTCCCGTTTTCGACAAAAATCAATAATGTCGGCCTGACCGCCGACACCACGCCAACGTTTTAAAAATTTTTAAACTACATATTCTTGATCAGAATTTCATGCTCTTTCGAATGTCATAGGTCTCGAAGTTTGCGGTGAAAGTCGTGTATAAAGTGGTTGATTTGCCATGGAATTACCCCATAGTAAAATAAAAACCGTCTAGCACCTTCATTTCTCAACGAAAGTGCATGAAACTTGAAGAGTGAGTATAAGAGAAGGTGTTCTATCCAATCTCACGATCGGAACTACAAAAAACAAAGCGGACCTTTACAGATTTTCCAGAAAATCTCTGAAGATCTTTACGTAAAATCTCCGTATGACAAATAATTTCAACCTTCCTAAACTGTACAGCAGGAAAAACTGAGTGGGTTTTGAAAATTTTGTCGAATGATTTGAATTTCAGGCTTCATACTGTACAGAGACTACTTAACACTTTTTTCTGGTATTATTTCTCGTTGATAGATACATAGACCAGTGTATAATGACTATACTGTAGAAAACTGAACGATGATAAAACTACACATATATTCCTTGAAACTCCAACACAAGTAAAACTGAATTTTGATTAGAAAGATGCATGATTTGAATTTCGCGATTTTTCCTTTAGACTTTTCGTATTACAATTCATGCACTTTATTCATCGCGTAAATGTCATAATAAGATTTCACAAATAAACATTGGATATCTTCATCATCTTTTAGTCTTCTTATCTCCTTAAACAATGCTCGTCCTATGCACTGACAGATAAATTTGAGCGCCACTATATGAACGATAACAAAGAATCATTCGATCAAAGCATATATTGACTTCGAGTATTATTTGAAGAATAATATGGATGTTTGTGAAAGAAACAGCAGTAAAATGTGTGTAAAAACTTTTTTTATTATATTACCAACTTTATGCGAAACTTTTTGTTTAATTCAAATAAAGTTACATTATACGAGTAGTATACGGAATGACCGGGTTGAACCAACACAAATAGTGTTTCCGAAGGAAAGAAGAATTTTCCGACTAGTAAAGAGGATAACTGCTCAACTATCTATTACTCTACTCCTATCTGCGATTTCAATAAACTGTTCTTAATGAAGTAAATATTTTTGTTGCAATGTTCCAATATTGTTTGTTCTGGTTTCGAAAATTTTAATTCTGATTCCTGTGCCATCTCGTAATATTTTAATGCTTTTATCAGATCGGTGTTAGTTTTGTATATATCAGCTTGATACTTGTATGTGGTAGCTAACAAACTGTAATTTACCGGATAGTCTCTCAAATAACAATCACTTAAATAATTGTAGTAAATTAAAGCATTAGCCTGTTGATTCAAACGACAATATACTTCTGCTATTTTTGAATAGGACGAAATTAAAACTGAATCATCCGATGAGAATGTTTGTAATTCTATTTCTAACATTTTTAAATAATTTTCCAATGCTGCTGGATAGTTTTCGAGTTCATAATGAATGGATGCTATATCATGATGTGTTGATGCAAAACCAATATCTTTCGATTGTATGTATTCTGAATTGATGTCTATCGATTTTTCATANTTCAAACGACAATATACTTCTGCTATTTTTGAATAGGACGAAATTAAAACTGAATCATCCGATGAGAATGTTTGTAATTCTATTTCTAACATTTTTAAATAATTTTCCAATGCTGCTGGATAGTTTTCGAGTTCATAATGAATGGATGCTATATCATGATGTGTTGATGCAAAACCAATATCTTTCGATTGTATGTATTCTGAATTGATGTCTATCGATTTTTCATAATAATATAGAGCTTTTTTATAATCACAAAGATCATGATAAACCTCTCCGAATCCATGGCTGATTCTAGATAAATTAAAGTAGTTGATTGGTATATTCTTTAAACAAGCATCGTATGCTTTTTGAAAGTGAATTAAAGCGTCTTCAAAACTTTTCGTTTCTCTCAATACTGATCCAAGTTTATAGTATGTAATTGAATGTTGATTATAATCTGTTGACCATTCATTCAGTTGTATTGTTAGTATTTCATTTAGATATTTCATCACACATTCATACTTATTTTGATTTTCATATATTTCAATAATGCATTTTAATGTGTTGCATGTGCGTAAAACATTTGTTGATGATGAGGAGGAAGATATTTTCAATTGAATATTGCGTAATTGATGGAAATAATTTAATGCTAAAGTTTCATTATTTAACTTCAAATGAAGATTAGCAATTTTCTCCAAGACTATTTCGAGTTGTGATAAGCTTGATGGCATATGCAGTTCTAAGAGATGTAATACTTCCAGATAATTTGTTAATGCATCAGAAAGATTCGAAAGATTACAATATGTTATAGCAATATTTCCATATAAGGTCGCCAACTGATCGCAATGGTCTGTTGAAGTGGTATGCTCCAAGAGAATTTTCAGTGCTTTTGTAAAACGGTCTAAAGCTTCTTCATATTGTTCCAACCCTAAGAATGATATGCCGATATAATTGAAAAGTATGATTAACGAATTAAAATCTGAATTTGTTAATTTTAATTTAATATCAAGCGTTTTTTTAAGATAAATTAGAGCTTCAGAAAAGTTTTGGCTTCTGAGAAGACTAATTCCCATTGATTCATATGCTCTTTGTAAATCAGGATGTTCCAATGGCAATACCGATTCCCAAAGATCAATTGCTTCTTTGAGATATGCTTGAGTTTCATAATAATTTTCTTTTGAAATATAAGTTGCTGCTATACTATAATATAATATAGCTAATTCTTCACAGGGTATTTCATCGGATTGTTTAGCAATTTTTATTGCATCTTTGTAATATTGCAATGCTTCGTCACATTCATTTTCAAGATGAATCAATGCAGCATTTTGATAGATACAAACTAACTCTCGATCTGTTAATTTATTGCCTTCTAATTCGTTTTTACGTTTTATATCTAGGACTTTCGAATGAAATGCTAATGCTATATCTTGATTACCTAGTTTGATGTTCGTAAAAGCTATATTGCTATATGCAGCAATGTGATTGTACACATCACACTGTAATATATTGTTATAATACTGTGAAGCTTTGTCATAATTTTCTATTTTAATATATAATGTGCCAATGAGGTTATAAGTCTCCGCCAGTTCACTATTATTTGACGGCATAGACTTGAGCTGCTGTTCTAACGACTTCTCATAGTTTTCTATTGCGTTAATATAGTCGCCTCAATGAAAAAATAACAAGATAAACTTCATTATGCTAATCGCTTCAGGGATTAACAGTACGCATGATATTGTTGTTGAGATCAAAATGCTCAAAACATAAACTTAGGCGAATCAAATAAAAGGAAAGGTTTTGGACAAAGATTTTTCTGGGCACTAAAATTAGCCGTTTTGGGCACGGTTTGCCAATTTCCGTACCCAAAAAAAATCTTTTGACTGTTTTGGGCACGGTTATTTATTTGAGAACGATAATTAGCCGAAATGGGCACGGGGCGCTAATTTCCGCTAATTCCTCTTTCTGCCTTCTATCTTCTTACAGTGATATAGTAAAATGGCTGTTGTTGATAAAATTATTGGCGGAACGTCCCCGAATGTTGCATAATCCATACTATACGCAGTTGCTCCTTGCTAAGCTAAGGTCTCAATCTCTAAGCAAAAAAAACAAAACATGGCACGTACAATATGGATCTTTGTCGACAAGGTTTCGTCTACGGACGATTTTCATATATATATATTAAACAAAACAATGTCTCGCAGTTTCGTACCGAAACAGTAAACGCAGGTACAAAAATTACACATCGATATTCGTTACGTCGAAAATTCCCTGAATGTGACTACCAGATACGTGCGGTATTAAATTCTGATAACGACCCATGTGATGAAAATCGCGGAAAAATCGACGATTTTATCGCGATTTACGGACCGATTAATTGTGCGCGATAAAATCGACCAGTTTGCCGATTTTTTCAACTTATCAGCCAGTAAAATATGAGGCTGAAACTTCTATGCTATAGCATACGACACCTATTATTGGATCGGTTCGAGCTCAACAAATCCCTCATAATAGCTATTTTCTCGTTCTCTGAGTTGAAAAATATTAAGTTAAGTAAATAACTGATTTAGCCGTAATTTAGCGTCAATATAACAAAATCGCCGATTAATTGCGATTAACTGGCGATATTTTTGAAAATGTTGATAAATCGTGGTTTCTGGAAAAATTACCAATTAATCGCCATTAATCGGCGATTTTTTGTCGAAATCGCGATTAACCGTTAATATTTTGCCGAATCGCGATTAATCATCCAAACCGAAGCGATTTCGAGGACATGGGGATATATCTGTGTTCTCATCGAACACTCATAATCATTCTATTCGTGCTCAAACCACACGTACTCTTTCGGCTGTGCATGAAATTGTCTTGAAATCGGCTGCTGCTAGATTGAGACAAACTCAGACCCAACTTGCTGTTGCCGATGAGCACAATGGACAAGTCTACGTTTAGTAGCACGGCCTAGTGTCTACTCTGTTGATGATTTTGGAAAACCGAAAGGTTTTTTTTCCGCACGGAAATTAGCGACCCGTGCCCATTTCGGCTAATTGTCGTTCCCAAATAAATAACAGTGCCCAAAACAGTCAAAAGAGTTTTTTGGGCACGGAGATTGGCAAACCGTACCCAAAACGGGAGAGCGGAGAAAATACTCTTTCTCTGAGAAGTCAGAAAAAGGTCACCTTAACTGGGACTAACGACATAAATGTTAGGCTTCAGTCACCTAAGGTAAAACACGACAACACAATGAATAGTGAATTAAGATAACTTAAGGCATACTAACCCAACTTCAGATTTGGTAAGGTAAGTTAATGTAGAGAAGTTCAGAAACTTTTAGATTTGGTAAGGTAAGGTAATGTAGAGAAGTTGAGAAGTTCAGAGAACTGCAGATATGGTAAAGTAAGGTAAGGTAATGTAGAGAAGTTGAGAGAAGTTCAGAGAATTGCAAATATGGTAAGGTAAGGTAAGGTAATGTAGAGAAGTCCAGAGAAGTTCAGAGAACTGCAGATATGGTAAGGTAAGGTAAGGTAATGTAGAGAAGTTGACAGAAGTTCAGAGAATTCCAGATATGGTAAGGTAAGTTAATATAGAAAAGTTCAGAAACTTTTAGATTTGGTAAGGTAAGGTAAGATAATGTAGAGAAGTTCAGAAACGTTCAGAGAATTCGAGATATGGTAAGGCAAGGTAAGGTAATGTAGAGAAGTTGAGAGAATTGCAGATATGGTATGGTAAGGTAAGGTAATGTAGAGAAGTTCAGAAACTTTTAGATTTGGTAAGGTAAGGTAAGGTAATGTAGAGAAGTTGAGAGAAGTTCAGAAAATTTAAGATATGTTAAGGTAAGGTGTAGTAGTTAAGATAAGATATAGTAAAGTAAAGTAGAGAAGAGAATTTAGTGTGAGATAACTTAAGATAAGGTAAAATGTAGAAGTAAAGATATAAGAAGGTAAGACACGGTAGTGCATGATAAGGAAGTTTTTATGGGGTCCAAAATATAATCATTATGGAGTTACTTGTATCTGCTAGACGTGCTTACAAAATGGAAATAATTGAAAGATGATGGTTTGGTCCTGAGACTTTCTGGAAGCTCGTTCCGAAGACCATATTGTTTTATAAGTTTTTATTGTTGTTTTCTTTTAAATAGAATACAAAACAGGCTAGGTACCTTTCATCCCGAAGTTCTGAACCTGTTCTGATGTTTTTTGAATGAATTATGACTTTTTTAGTAATAGGTGAAAACTCTAATTTTTGAACAACTTGGTTTTCACCATATGTTAAAACCTTTTTTTCAGAATAAATACTGGCACTAGATTCACCATAATCGAAACTTATGTTTGCATGCATTGCTGAGATTCATGAGTGAAATGAAGAGCAGTCCTAGGGCTCTAAGGAAAACCTCGTCCGCTGCGTAGTCATGAGAGATGAAGCACTTGCTTACGCTGTGTTTAGCAGAGGACACTTTAGTCCATGTGTTAGAGAACGAAGAAAATACTCTTTCTCTGACAAAGTCAGAAAAAAGCCACTTTAACTCGCACTGACGACATAAATGTTATGGTTGAGTACAGTAAACTAGAATACGACAACACAAGGAAAAGCAACACAAGATAACCTACGGTAATATAAGGCAAAGAAGAGAAGTTCACAAAAGCTAACGTAAAGCAAGGTAATGTAACGTGGCCTAGTACAGAGAAATTAAGATAAGGTACCATAAGGTAACATCAAATCTTGCCACAGGAGTGAAACAAAGAACGCCGAACACAGCTATTTTGTACTCCTCAAACCAATATGCTGCATCACCCAAATACTTCCGCGACAGAAATACTGTTTAACCCCTCACTCTCATAACCCAACTGTCTTACCGCACGTCACCGCAAAAAGCCACTCTATCTTATCCTAACTTCTCCATACTACCTTACCACATCGTAACTCTCTCAACTTCTCTAAACTTCTCTCAACTTCTCTACATTACCTTACCTTACCTTACCAAATCTGCAATTCTGTGGACTTCTCTGCCTTACCTTGCCACATCTAAAATTCTCTGAACTTCTCTCAACTACTCTACTTTACCTT